GGAATCGCCCCAGACCCCCAAGACCGAGGCGTCCGGGAGCCTGACGGAGCTGTTTGAGAAGGCGGCCGCACACCTCCAAGGCCTGATTCAGGTGGCCAGCAGGGAGCAGCTGCTGTACCTGTACGCCAGGTACAAGCAAGTCAGAGTTGGAAATTGCAATACTCCTAAACCAAGCTTCTTTGATTTTGAAGGAAAGCAAAAATGGGAAGCATGGAAAGCACTTGGTGACTCAAGCCCTACCCAAGCAATGCAAGAATATATTGCAGTAATTAAAAAATTAGACCCAGGTTGGAATCCTCAGACATCAGAGAAAAAAGGAAAAGAAGCAAAAAGTGTTTTGGTGGGCCAGTTGTTAGTTCTCTATATCATGAAGAAACCATCAGGGAAGAAGACAAAGACATATTTGATTACTGCAGGGAAAACAACATTGACCATATAACCAAAGCCATTCAATCAAAAAGTATGGATGTGAATATGAAAGATGAAGAGGGCAGAGCTCTACTCCATTGGGCATGTGATCGAGGACATAAGGAACTAGTCACAGTTTTGCTACAACATAAAGCTGATATTAATTGTCAGTTCCAGCCAATTACCAATTTGTGACCAGTCATCTTTAATCTAGACTGTGATCCAAGAAATGAAGTCTTTCACCTTTTAGGAAGGAAAAGGAAAAGGAGGTCCAGCAGTGATATCTCAGCAAACAAAGCGCCTGCTTTGGTATGCACAGGGAACCAGGGTTCAATCCCCGTTCCCATAAGGGGCACTGGTCCTGCCCCTGGGGTTTACTGAGCCAGTGACCAAGTCCAGGCGTGGTGGTGCATGCCTGTAATCCCAGTGCTGTGGAGGCTGAAAACAGGAGGATCACCATGAGTCTAATCCACATAATGAAAACCTGTACCAAATACATAAATGAAAAAAAAATCTCAAAGGAAAAGAACATGCAAGTAGATTATTTTTTCTTGATTTTTTTGAGACAAGATCTCTCTCTGTGTAATTCAGGCTGGCCTCTAACTCACTGCAGTCCTCCTAGCACAGTCTTCCTGAGCGCTGGAATTACAAGTGTGCACCACTCACCCCAATTTTTACAAACAGTTCTAATAGATTTACATGCTTGCTGAAGCCCTTCCATGGGTGTCTCGAAATCCAAGAG